CTGTTACCAGACGGCAAAAAAAGTCCACCCCCAGAATGACCACCCCGGCAAGCGAAGCCGTTTCGTAAACGCACCCAGAGAAGGAATCGAACAGGGTAGGGCTGTTTAGTAATCGCCCAGGGTCGTTCAGGAAACGCCGCTTAGCGGCTCCAGACGGTCTCTCTCCTCGTGAGTTACCCCGTAGGTCTGCTGCGGAGGCTCTCGGAGGCTGCGCTGGCGAGGAGCGCGCGGGAAGTCGTGCGGCCCGCTGCCCAGGTCGGCCCCCCCTCGCGTCCACTCGTCGGGACGACGCCTCGGCGACTTGATCGGCTTTGCCAGCGAGGACGTCAACCACCTCTGCTGCCACACGGACGGGCGCTCCACGTCCGCTTCGCAGTCGTTCGCCTTCCCTCCCCCATCTCCATGCTGCGCCCCCGAGCAGCACTACCCCCTGACCTGGCTTGACGAGCCCTGTACCCGCCCAGCTCAAACATCAGACGCGGCAGGGGCACTCGGAACCGACGGCCAACCCCTGGTCGAAACCTGCATGATGAAGGCGAGGGCGTGCCGAATACAAAAACACCTGCGACTGCAAAACTAGGCATCAACATCTCTTTATGGACATTGTGCGCGGCAAGAACCGACCGGCACATTCCATGCACACACGCACACACTTTCAAAACGGGCACGTAGCGTGGAACACTGAGAATTTCACGTAACGATGCGAGCGTTGAGTGCAAGCCGAAGTACCTCGGCATGGCAACAAGCGTGCCCGAACAATCAGTGCATCGCGGCTGGGGAATGAAAGTGCACTATACTCATGTATAGATCGGCATGACACGACTAAGCGATAGCATGGCCTACAAGATGGATACATAAAACAGTACGGCCAATACATAACAACACAGGATGGATAAACATGAGGGGGCGGCCTGCAACAGAAAAGCAAGAAGGGGAGGGATAGAGCAGCGAGGGAACGGAGGAAGAGACCATCGTACGAAGAGACTAGCGAGGGCGACAAAGAAGGAAACAACAGAGATGAGGAAGAGTAGTCTCAGGAGAGAGGAGATGAAGACATACACGCTCCGTAGAGGCCTGGTGCGTCCACCAACTACTTCTAACGGAGAGCAGGAGGGAAGACGAGCAGGAGGAGACCAACGTACGACACGAGGGGGGATTCAGCGTTTGAGTTCACCCCGATGCACCGAGTCCGTGACACAGATCCTGCCCTGTAGGAGATGTGGTGTCAAGAAAAGCATGTGGCACTGAGTCCCCGCCCCTCGATGCACCGAGTCAATGACACGGATCCTGCCAAGGATTGCTCTTTACTGGGGCAAGTGTTTTCTCTATACCTGCGGCCGCGCCCAAGGCGGAGTCATACTACATCAGAGAAGGCCTTACGACGGATTGACTGTATGCTGTGAGTCCAGGGCAGACACCTTCCTGGAGGTCCGGGCGGAAACCGTCACAGCACCCACGGTGGAGACATCGTTTGACTCAAAACGTATCGCGAAGACTTGCACCGATGCTATCCGGATCATCCCGCTGTGGGCCACCTACATGGGGTATGGCGCGCCCCCCCTGGGTATGCATCGATCGAGACGTCCCTCGCGTCGAGACACGGAGGCCGAGAGGAGGATGTCACCTGAATTGGGTCCGGCGAGCAGCAGGGCCTCAACGATGCGTACGGTGATGGCCAATCCACCCCTCGGTAGGCAGCGGGCCGACCCACAGCAACGAGGCGCGGTTGTCGACAGAATCGCGAACACGTTCAAACATATGTTTGTTTGCTCCCCCAGTCGCCCCACTACTGCGAGGGAGCCCCGACGCTCAAGGCGCCGGGGCCTCCCCTGCGACTGTGAAGCACCAGGTGGAGCATTGCGCACCTTGCCAAACCAGTCGGCTTGGCCTGTCGGGTCCACTACAGGTTCGCCCACAGGGCCGCGCCACAGCCGTGCCGCAAAATGCGCCCCCCTGGACGACAGGCCTCCATCCACAATTCTTGGGGTGTGATACAGGAGAGAGGAGCAGGACGAGGAGGATTAGGAGGGGGAGGAGGAGGCGGACGAGGCGAAGACGGAGGATGCGGAGGCGGAGGAGGCAGAGGAGGCGGAGGAGGAGGAGGAGCAGGAGGAGGAGGAACGGGGAGGAGGAGGAGGAGGAGGAGGAGGAGGAGGAGGAGGAGGAGGAGGAGGCGGAGGAGAATGAGGAGGAGGAGGAGAAGGACAAGGATCAGCAGTTCGCGGAAACGAGGAGGAGGAGGAGGAAGAGGAGGAGGAGAGTGATGGAGCACAAGCGCGAGCACGAGGCGCCGGCAGCGCGGAGGCAGGTGGGGGGCGGGCACCGAGAACCGAGGAGGAGAAGGAATGACAGAGGGGGGGGGAGCGGGGAGGACCACCACGAAGAGGACGGCGACGGCGACAACGACGACGACAACGACGACGACGACGACGACGACGACGACGACGACGACGACGACAACGACAACGACAACGACGGCGACGACGACGACGACGACAACAACGGCGGCGGCTGGGACGGCGGAGAGCCCCCGCGGCCCGCGCCCAGCAGGACTGCCCGAGGGTCAGCCGCTTCTCTGGTCTCACTTGCAGCAGGCCTGCCCCCGCGACTCGTCGAGGTGAGGGGCCGTCTCCTGCTCCATTCCCTTCGCCTCACTCCTCCTTCTCCCACCCCTCCTCCATGAGACTACGTCCTTGACCCCACTCCCGTTACTACTACTCCTCCTCCTCCTCCTCCTCCTCCTACATCCGCCTCGTCCTCCTCCCGCCCTCCCCCCCGCCAATGATGACTTCCCTCACGCGCGCCCTCCCGACCACCTCTCGATCTCCCACCCGCCAGCCATCTCGGTCTGACTTCTCCAGCACCTGATCCTCCTCCTCCTCTTGCCGATCAGCCTCCTGGTCCTTCTCACATGGCTACTTGTTATCCCCCTTCGCCTCCACTTCCACGTCCTATCCTAACCCCAACCCCACCGTGCATCCCTGCACCCCCGCCTCCAACCATCAAACTGCCCGCCCGTCAGAATGACTATCCGTCCCGACCTCCCTCCATCACTTCTTCCCGCCCGCCCTTACTACCTCCGTTTCTTTTTTCTCTCTCTCTCTCTCTCGCTCTCTCTCTCTCTCTCTCTCTCTCCCTCTCTCTCTCAATCACTGTCTTTTTCTGCTGCAGCCCCCCTAATCCTCGTCATGATCACGCTCGACCTCCTCCTCCTCCTCCTCCTCCTCCTCCTCCTCCTCCTCCCCCTCCTCCATTCCCTCCTCCCACTTCCCCCCAATCTCCTCTTGCGCCAATTCCTCCCATCATCACATTTACCCCCTTCTTTGTTGAGGACGAGCGGCCGTGAGCAGACACCCCAACGATCAAGCACCAAACGACTCCGTGAGGAAATCGCTAAGCTTCTGAACGCGTTTCAAAACAACACAAGCGGTGACGTGAGACCCGTGAGATCATGAGCGGGCAGCGTAGATGCCAAAATAGCCCGAGTGGAGTAGGGATTCAGACATGAGAGGGAAGATAAGGACAGGCAGGGAAGAGACCAGGAGCAGGACCAAACTGACACCTCGAGCGCGCGTAGGCCCAAGGCAGTCCCCACACATCAAAGCCCCACATGCGCGGAAAGAAAAGGAAAAGGAAGGAGGACGGAGGGGGGACGCATAAGCCAACGTGCCAGATCCCGCAATCCACGCAGTTCAGCAGTAGAGGGGGGAGACTGTCAGCAAAACTAGGTTTGCTGTATCGAGACATGCAAAGATGTGAGAGGCGGCAAGAGGAAACAGAAAAACAGCGGCTGCAGCGTGGGTAGAGAGGAGGACGGAAGAAACGCAAAAGCGCCGTGGAAACCCTCAGGAGCACTCAGGACACGTGAACCCCGACCAACACCACGCAACACGCACATGGCCTCGCTCTGCCCCTCCACGGCGCACCTTCCCGTGCGATGCGAGATGCTGCGTGTGGTGCCGCTGGTCCCCCATCTTTCTGGACGCAGCGGATCGGTTGAAAACCATGGCGCTGCGGCAAGCGAGGAACTTCTGCCTTTCAAGCTGTCGTGATCCGCCGTGTGGGCCAACGAAGTCATGCAAGACTTCTGCCGTGCGATAACGGACGGGCCAGCACGCCCCCAAAGCGGATAGACCGGCACAGCCCAAACAGATGCATTGGGCCGGCATAGAAACTTCGAGGGAAGCCTCTCCTGAACGTCGTGGTCGTGCTGTTACATGCCGTCATGCTGCTGACCCCCAGGGTTTTGCGCACAGGCATGCCCCCTGAAGATTATGGTTTGGTTTCGTTGCACACCTTCGTGGAGGTCAAGGAGGCAACGCGCAAATATTCGTCGTGTGAATTTCGAAGTCGTGCAACTGCAGCAGCTCCCAATCGCACTGCTGGTCCACGACATGCTGCTAAGGGAAATGGTACACGGCGATGACGTGTACAATCGGCGGCGGAGCTAGAGTTGAAGCCGAAGCCAGAACTGAAGTAGAAACTGAAACTATAGAGCATCGAAATTTCCAGGCGTCGGAGCTAGAGTCGGCGCTGTCGTGGGATCTCGCCTGTCTGCCATCTGCCGGAGCCAGCACTGGGAAGATATCATGAATTGGGGGTCGGGGCTCGGGTCGGAACAGGCACAGGAGCTGGCGACGCGCACGCAGTTGGGTGGGGAATCGCAGCCGAACGCGGAGACACAACAGCGCCCACGCCGGCTGGACAGCTGGCGGGCTGGCCTGCCGGACAGATCCAGCATTGGAGAGGCCGGCGGAAAGAGCGTCGGAGTCAGAGGCGGCGCTGGCGTTGGAGCCATGCGTGGTGCTGCTAATGTCCGTCCTGTTGCTCCTCGTCGTTCTGCCAGCACCCGTCATTGCACCGGCCTTGCAGACGTGCTGCAGCGGATTTCTGCGTGGATTTTTGCCCGAAGCGGCGAGCGAAAAACGAAGTAAATTTCGCTTGGATTCTTTTTGGTCTTTATTCCTTGCAAAAACGCACGAAATTCACCTCGATATCTGGAACGAAATTATCCAGGACAATCCGGGCCCATCCCAATGTTTTCCGAACGAAATCCGCTCTGCGATGCTGGCGCCATGACACCCGTCGTCCTCCACAATCGTCTACAGCATTTTCGGGCGGGGGTGCCAGGGCGGCTCGCACCTGTCGGGGGGGGGATGCAGGACTTCTCCGCCCAGGCCTGGAGTTCCACGCTAAGGTGCCCCGAGTCTGGGGCAGCTGCCCTCCCTCCTTCGTTTCCTCCGCATCCGGTCGATTAGATACCAGGGTATTTTGTGATATTTGCACCCTCCCGTTGCAGAGTCATGGTCGCATACTTGTCGGAAGTTGCTGTGCTTTTGATTGCAGTGGTCAAGAACACAGTGTCCGGCACATTGGTGGTTTTCGGAGTCGTGCTGTTGCTGCCCCCAACCGTGGAGATACCGATCTTGCTGCTGGTAGCTGGCGTGCTACTCAAACATTTGTTGGAATAAGTACTCGCCCGACCGCTGGATGTAGGAGTCGCGATGCTGCTCTCCGACGCACCGCTCCGTCAAAAGAGACGGGCACGAAGATGACGCGGAAGCAGGAGCAACAGAACGCGCTGAGCATGAAGAGGACACCGAAAACACATACAGTGGAGGCCCGTCCACAGGAAACCTTCCACAGGAAACCCAACCCCAACCCTGAGACCCCAGGACGTCCACTGATTTTCGGTGCGGGAGCGTCACGCTTCCCATGGCAAAACCATCGAAACCCAAGAAACCCAGGGCGCCCTGGAGGCAAGCAGGGTGTTCTTTTGGGCCCTGGGCCTCCACTGCCTCCTCCTCCTCCTCCTCCTCCTTCTCCTCCTCCTCCTCCTTTTCCTCCTCCTCCGGCGGGCACATTCGCCAGCCCAGCGGGCCAAGGTGAAGGGGCCCTGGGACACACAAAGAAATTCACACAGATAGCAGGAAGACGCCTCCCAGATTCACAAAAGGCCCCCAGAACGGTTCCAAGAGAGGGCCCAAACGGGGGACCCGAACGGACATTTCGAGCCCTCAGCCCCGAGAAGCTCCCAAGAGGCCCTCCAGGAAGTCCACAGAGGCCCCAAGAGGCTTCCGAGAGGCCCCAAAAACTCTCCTAGGAAGCTACTAAACAAACTAAGAAGTTACAAAACTACCGGGTATTCCCTCCTCTTCGACCTTGTCCTCCTCCTCCGCCTGTTCCTCCTCCTCCCCATCACAGAACGGAGGAGGGACACTTTCCCGAGCGCGGCAAGCGCGCTTTCAACGCCTCCGACGTCCGACAGCGCCTCGCAGCCACCGTCCGATCCGCGAGGGCTGGCGCGCCCAGACGACAGGGTCGTCTCCAGGGTCGGCGGCATCGGCCGTAAGGCCTTCGCAATTCACACAGATAGCAGGATGCCCCATACCTTCCCCTATTTTCTGGGTTTTTCTCTTCCCCCCCACTTCCCATGTTTTCCCGTATGTTCCTGGGGATCGACGAGTCATTGTGTCTGTGTGTTGTTTCCCCTCCTGACAAAAGCGTGCTAAGATCTCCGGTGACTGGATAACAACATTCTAGCTCGCGCGCGCGTGGGCGCCCCTGGGGGACCCCAAAACGGAAAATACCCCAGCAGGTCCCGGCAGGGTCCCGGCAGGTCCGGGCAGGTGCCCGGGTCCCAAGAGCGTTGCAGGGCATAGAAAGTCTTCGGAGGTCCACGCGGGATTCTCGGGTGGGCGTTGGACCCCTCTGCCTGGCGCGCGGAGTAAGCCAGGGACGGCGCTGGGGGCGAGACCAGGGAGGCCCATCGCCGATGCAAAACATCCGTGCGGCACTCCTGGCATGTATGCTTGTGTGTCATGCCGCGTTTCTTCTTCGACCTTGGTGTCCGCGTGGCATGGGTGTGTCCACGAACTCCTTCGCGCGCACGCGCTGGAGCAGGTCGTTCACTTCGGCGTGCTGCGCTGCACGGCCCACATCTCCTCTCCACTGCGCTTCCTCCGCCGCCTCATCGGCCTCGTCAGAGCCAGGAGATCTGGATGTGACTCGGGGGAGGGGAGAAGAGTAGGAGGAGGAGGAGGCGGAGGAGGAGGAGGAGGGGTAGGAGGAAGAGGAAGAGGAGGACGATAATGACAAATGGAATAGGTCTCTCTCTCTCTCTCTATCGCTTTTCTCTTCGTCTCCTCCACAGTACCCTCATGCTGCTGCCGCCTATTCTCCTCTACGTTATTCACCAGATCGTTCCTCCCTTTCCCCGGCCTCGTCGCAGGATCGCATGGCAAATCGCATGCTGTGAAGGTACGTGCCTGAACGGCTCAAGGCGGCGTGCTCCAGCGCCAAGGCGGCACGTCAACGACATACGTGCGTACTGTTTGCGTGTACCTCTGCGCCGATTCATGATGCTCTTGTGCATGACTCTTCCCCAGTCCCAGTGCCCTCGAGGAGCTTGACCAAACGATTGGAAAACACATCCATCAACACCTCGCCGTTGCCATTCCGCAGCTTGCGCTTCTTCAGGAAACGACAGAAACCAGAAGCCTGCGCACTCGCCAGACGCCCGAGGGGGGCGGCACAGCGGGCGCAGGCAATCGCAAGATATGGTTGGAGGACAGGTTCCTGAGACACTCCTCTCTCTCTCTCTGTCTCTCTCTCTCTCTCTCTCTGTGTCTCTCTCTCTCTCTGTCTCTCTGTCTCTCTCTCTCTCTCTCACTCTTCTATATATACTTCCCCCGAACCGGAAGGTCTGGCCGCCGTCGGGGGTTGGCGGAGGTTGCCCCTGAAAGTCAAGCTGCTTCTCCCCATCCGCCCTCCCACCCTCCCTCCCTCCCTCCCTCCCCTCCATGACTCCTGCACCCCCTCCTGCTCCTCCTCTTTTTCCTCGCCCGCCCTCCCTCCAGCCCGCGCTATCCAGGTACTCCTGCGCTCCCCATCATCCCTTCTCCATCCCTCCCCCCTTTCTCCCTCCCTGAGTGATCCTTATTCTCACCCCTTCCCCCTCCTTCCTCCTTCTCCTTCTCCTCCTCCTCCTCCTCCGCCTCCTCCTCATCCCACCTCCCGCTTCCCTTCCTCCTCCTTCTCCCCCTCCCCCTCCCCCTCCTCCTCCTCCTCCTCCTCCTCCTCCTCCTCCTCCTCCTCCTCCTCCTCCTCCCACCTCCCGCTCCTCCTTCCGCCTCCCACTCCTTCCTGCAAATGACTCCAACCGATCCTTCCCATCCTCGCCCACCTCCACCGTGCCTCCACCCCATCTCCCCCAACTCCAGCCCTGCCTCCCTGTCTTCTTCCTCCCCATCCTGCATCTCTCCCTCCCCGTCCCTGGCTCTTACGTATCCTCGAGGAGGAGGGGGCAGGGGGAGGGACTGAAGCATCCCCCGCCGCCCCAGCCCCAGACATGGCGAAGCACCTGGGTTGAGAAGGCCTCTGCCCGCTTCGCTCGTGGAATGGCACGGGTCCCGGCTGAGGTACGGACAGCCCACGATTGTGCCCCCCCCCCCCCCACGTGCCCAGGGGCCGCAGAGGCCGACCGGGCCTGCTCTCGTGGGGCCACCTGTGCGCCACCCCAGGCTGTGCCATCGTGGGGCCTGGGAGGGCAAAGACAGAGGCGAGTTCCGAGAGGAAGCCCAGGTGGTTGCCCACAGGCGACGAGCACATCCAAGGCCATGGCCTCGCGTCCTGGGCCCCGGGGCGCGATGCCGCGCGGGGCACCCGCGCCGGGCGGATAGAAGTCCGTGGGGTCCCGGCCGAGGAACCCGGGCCGCGAGGCCGTGCCCATGGATGTGTCTCCCGTCCACGAGTTGTGCTCCCTGAGCGCGGAGCCAGGGGAGTACAACGAGAGGGGGCAGTTCCAGGTATCTGCGCGAACACACAGCGCCCTTTGCAGACGACTCCACGCTCACCACCAGCATCGCAGCGGGATGGCAGCTGCGCGCGGCAATCATCGGCGGCGGGTCAGTGGCACGCTCTGTTCTCAACTCCACCCATGGCCTGAACATACTGGAATCGTTGGCACTCGAACGCCCTGGTAGATGCCCAAGGGTAGTCGTGCGCGGCCATCACAAATAGCCTCCGGTCTCCTGTTGAAGAGACAACAGGCTGAAGATGGCGGGCCAGGGTGGAGCCTCCAATTCCCCCCACATCCACCTTCTCTTACTCCTTCTCCCATCTCATGCGTCTTTCTCCTCCTCCTCCTCCTCCTCCTCGTCCTCCTCCTCCTCCTCCTCCTCCTCCTCATTCCTCCTCCTCCCCCTTCCTCCACCTTCTGATCCCCCTCCTCCTCCTCCTCCTCCTCCTTCTCCTTCACTCTTCCTTCTCCGCCTCTTGCCCCCCTCTGCCCTCTGATGGTGCCCCTCCCCAGCTGAGGCGTCGAGCCACGAGCCCAGGGGACTCCGCGGCCGATGCCCAGAGGGCCACCATCGTTACGCCAACGGCGAACGTGTCGGCCATGAAACCGTCCCACGTCAGCCCGCACTCGGACTCCTCGGGGCGCGCCGGGCCGTCCGCGTGCCGTCCGCCCAGGCACGGTCCGAGTGCTGCCAGGAGGAGCGCAGGACGATGAGGAGCGAGAGGGCCCTGCCGCCGGCCACGGCGAGCCTCTCGGCCACGAGTGGCCTCCCCCGACCCAGAGCTGCGGAGCAGCCCAGAAGAAACCAACGCCCGCCCGAATCCGAGGTGCTTGTTCGGCGTCTGGGCTGTAGCGAGGAATGGCGCTCGCAAGGCGCATGGCTGCGACACCGCTTCGTGTCTTGTGCGCAGCGCGCACGAGGCCGAGCGGATTCCGAGCCAAACGTGGATGAGGGCGATGGGGAATTGATGGTTGACTCACAAGTTGTAATGACGGTCAGTCGAACATGGAGGCTCGAACACGCAGATATGGTAAGCCTTCAATGTGGCAGGTAAGGGTGTGGCACAGCCTCGTCAGAGGTGGCGTACATGGGCATGGCCACCATATCTTATGGACTGTGTACAGAGAAATAGATAAGCGCCGGGTCCACTGTAAAACCGCAGCGGGAAACTGACGAGCGTGATCCAACCTGTGAGTGGCGATGGCGAAGGCGGTATGGAGGGGGGGAGGAGGGGGGAAGGGAGGAGAGAGGGGGAGAGGTCACCAAAAGAGAAGGGCAAAGAGGTGAGAGGGAGAAGTGACAGGGGAAGGAAGCTGGGCACCCTCACACGTGGCATCGATCGATGGACTAAGACGAAAGACGGTGGTCGTAGGCCGCTGGGCTGGAAGCGGCAAAAGCACATGACCCCTCAATCGGGCAAGCAGGACGCACCGCGGAAAACACATTGTCGACCACCCCGATCAGAGAGTGCGAACAGAAAAGGGAGCCGTGGGACTCCCGTGGGCCACTCTCTTGGCCAAATTTCATGGCGCCTCTCCCCCTCCCTCTCTCTCTCTCTCTCGTTCTCTCTGTATATCTTTCTCTCTCTTCTATTCCGTGCTCCGTATATCCATCTCTCTCTCTCTCCCTCTCTCTCTCTCTCTCTCTCGGCCGCTGACGATTATTTTTTATCCGCGGTCCTCGCCAGACAGGTTCCCCCCCCCTGTCCTCTCGGCCGATGGCGATTATTTACACATGCGGCCCCCTCTAGCGCACAGGCAGGTTCTCACCAGACGTGGCCCTTCAACCTGGCCATGGCGACGGCCGAGCCGAGCTCGAGAAACATATCTGGACAGCTGGCGCGCCTGTAGCGCCACGCCCAGAAGTGCACCCAATTCTCGAGCTGCGCCTGCGACTCCTTGCTGTACGTGTTCATCGTGGTTGGGACGACGTTCTTCACGTGCGACCACAGCCCGTCCTGGAGCTGCGTCCCGCCGTAGCAGCACAGGACGTCGCCCCCGCTCAGGGTCAGCGTCTTGACAGTCGCCCAGATGCGCTTGGCGTGCTTGACCTTCGTGTGGTTCTCGAGGCGGCGGTAGCACCGCGCTCCGTCTGTGTGCCAGATCAGCACGTCGGCCCCCGTGTGAGCTGAGATCAGCGGCGCGGTCTCATCCGTGCTCTCGGGGCGCGTCGGGCCGCCACGGACCGCATAGAAGGGCGGCAGCATGTGCACGACGGCGTGTTCGTGGTCTCCGCGCTTGCACATGCCGAACACGCGGATGTGCATGTTGCGCCCGTTCTTGAGCTGGACGACCCGCAGGGTCGTGGCGTCGGTCTCGCACTGGCCGCTCAGCACGATCGACTTCTGCTCTTCCCTCGAAGCAGCCGAGACGATCTCCAGCAAACTCTGCCTGACCGCCTCGCACTGCTTGTGGCCCATCTTGGCAATCAGCGCCATGTCGGCTGTACTCATGCGGGACGTCAGGGCGCCGCACGACAGGAAGGCGACGCCCGCCAGCTTCGGGAGAGGCACTTCCACATCCGCCCACGTGCCGCTCGTGACCTTCACCTGCACCGAGGACGACGAGCAGGCCTTGCGCTGACACCTCTGGACTGGACGCCGCTTCTCGCCCCTGTGAATCACCGAACCCAATGGCCATCCGCACCTGGGGCAAACGTTCTCGGAGGGGTCGCCGAGGTACCCCGCCTGGACCATCAAGTCGTAAGCATCCTTGGTCTTCAGAGCCCTGAGGTCCTCGTACGTGTAGATCTTGGCTAAGGAAGACCTGCCGCGCCGCACGCGGGCCACCCGCTGGCGCTTGGGCGTGTAGAACACGCCCGTGGCTTCCAAGCGCTTGCGTTTGGCCTGGGCCGCCTTGCGCGCCTTCCGCGCCTTGGCCAAAATGTCGCGGCGGCGCGAGGCGGCCTGCACCGACCGCTTGTTGCGACGCTTCTGGGGGAAGCGCTGCCCTCGCGCGCGGCTTCGACCCCTGGCCTCGGAGGCGGCGGGGCGACGGTGGACGGTCATCCCTGGCTCCAGGCGCGATAGCACGGGCGAGGCAGTGCGCGAGAGGCGCGGGCACCCGCGGCTCTGGCTGCCGATTCGGCCAAGAAACGGCTGCGGCGATGACAGCAACCATACCGGATGGACGGCGATGGCGGCGGCGGCGGCGACGACGACGACGTCTGCGGGGGCGGCTGGATTTCTTAGAACGGCAAAAGAAAATGGCATGATAACGCGCGGTACTTGTGGATAACCCTATCAAGACACAACATGTTGGCGGCGCGCGCCCCCAGCTCATCTGGGGCGCAGCGGCGCGCGCCACCTCGGCAGCGCGCGCGGCATCAGCGCCCGAGCTGAGGGTGCCATCGCTGCCCGCGAAACCCGCGCGCCGCACCTGCCCGCCCGCGCTCTCGCGGCCGCCCGCTCACTCCTGACTCTGAGAACCGAGGAAAGCGCGCGCCTCGTCCTCCTCCGCAGCCGAGGGCATCGCAGGCACAGCGGGCGCCCCCTCCTCGGCCAGCATCTGCGAGAGCTGGACCTCGAGATCGTCGCGGGGCGGGGCCGCGGGCCCAGATGCAGTGGACGACGCCGCGGCATGTTGCTTGGCGGGGGACGGGCTGTCGACATTGAGCGTCATCCCCGAGAGCAGGCGCTTCCGAAACGTCAGGCGCTCAGGGGACACGCGCTCTCGCTTCACCTGTCGGGAGGGGCTCAAA